CACAGCTTAAGGCTGTCCCATTTCTTTTGGAGGTGAAATACATTAGGTGTTTTAAGAAATTTAGGTTATTCTTAAAAGAAATATTTTCTGGAAAATACTTTCAGGTTTCTGAAATTTTATTCATACTGTTTATTGTCCTATGTTTTTTTTTTTTTGACGAATATACTCCAAACATATATTTTTAATTTGTTGCAGCACTGAAGCGATGTTGCGTTTTTCTATACTGTGTGGATGAGCTCTATGATGAAGCTGTATCGCTGGCCCTTACGGTATGCGTGAATTTCAAAAGTTCTGTTTTGCTTCGGCTCTTGAAAAGCAGTCGCCTGGGTTGTGCTGGCTTTTGATATGGATATTCAGAGTGGTGCTACTGGGATAATCTATGCATCGGGTGTAGATTTATCTGACCTTCAAGCCTTGTTGCATTCTGAAGTATTTAGTGTCTTTTTATCTATTTTGACGTTAGGTACTTTCTGCTACATCTGAAACTCCGAAGAGGTTTCAAATTGTTTCCCTGAGAATTTGGAGGAAGGATAAACTAAGAAATTCCCAACTAAAATTGAGCAATTTTAAGCAGTTTTTTTAATGCAATTTTAATCCCACTCCAAAATTGGCCGTTTCAAAAAAATTTTTTGAGTAGTAATCTTGTAACTTAATATATTTTAATAATTTGCAATTTCAGCACCTGTTGTTTTTGATATTTCTTACCTTTTCAGGTTGATCTTGAATTAGCGAAAAGCTGTGCAAAACGGATGTCGTTACCCAATGAAAATGAATATGATTTCGTGCTAATCGATGCAGCAAAACCAAAATTCTCAGCTGAAATGCGAAGGCACGTTTGGCTACAAATAGGTAATTAAAGTTTTGTAATTTAGGCTTTTCAGGAGTAGCTTTATGCATTATCATCAGAATTCAAACAGTTTTTTTTATTCTTTTTTCAAAAAGTTTTTGTGTTCTTGGTGGTTTTTTGTAAAAATTCATGTATAGTGGAATTAGAAGCTAGTCCTTGTTTTGGTCATGAGATTGCTTCATCATGTATTGATATTTGATATCAGCATGGCTTATTAGTGGGAAGGGGCTTGTCTCACTATTCAGTTCATTTGTATTGGTTTTCGAATCTTTGGCAGAAGATGTTAATTGTGTCCTTATCTGTATTCCACGTTTATAGCACG